GGATTCCCGCCTAAAGCCCTGCCTGGACCCCTACCGTATGTGGGATAATAGCCAATTCATGGTTTTGGACCATTCTTCTACCCACTCTTGGAGGTTTTGGTGGGGCTTGATGCTCCAAAACCCTGATAGAGTCAATAGAGTTTAGGGATTACGGATCGACCCTCAATTCCGAACAGTCTTCAAGCCCCCCAAACCCGCTCACATCCTAAGTTCCCAGAGCCGGAAGCTTGCTTGGATGCGTGGAACCCGTACATTTTGGCGTTTGGGTAGGTCCCTACAAGGCTCCAAGACGGCTGGGAAGTCAAGGTACTGTAGGTCCTGATGCAGCAGTGAAGACGCATTGGGTGTTGGGCTTATTGAGCCAGATACGCGCATGCTGCGTTCCCACAGTACACAACTGTTCGGTGTTCGGCATTATAACCTCACACATGCCTAGGTTCTGCAGCTGTTGAAGCTGCTTGGCCGTCCGGCCGTGATGGCCGTGGCTGTGGGCAATGTGCCTTGCCCTGCTTGGCACTGAAAGCCAAGGGCATTGCGGTGCTATGCTCACTTTTTGTTTGCGAAATGTCGTTCCGCCTGGAAGGGTTTTTGCTTTCAGGTTTATGCGTATATACAGTTGCTTTCCGACGCATGTACTACTGTCGACGTGCAGATGCAGGGAATGTCCCGTGTTGTCACGTAATATTAGCCGCTGGAATCCAGCATCCTGCAACTCCGCGAATGGTCACGTCAAGCCACTCTTGCTCCTGTGTTCCGACTCAAATCATATGATCTGTACTGCCATACGTAATCCATTCAACAGTTGATCAGTGGTTGCGATTGTGTGCGTGTGTGTCTGTGTCTGTGTCTGTGTTTGTGTCTGTGTCTGTGTCTGTGTCTGTGTCTGTGTCTGTGTCTGTCTGTGTGTGTGTCCGCGTGTGTGTGTGTGTGTGTGTGTGTGTGTGTGTGTGTGTGAGTGTGTGTGCGTGTGTGCGTGTGCGCGTGCGTGTTGGTCAGTATCGTTCCGCAGTCTGCTTTTACACAAAGGCTATATACAGCTTCAATTTTCGAGTCCAGACCCCAACGTACCAAGCCCAGTAAACCATGATCACTAAACCCTAAACTCACTCGAACATGGAAGCCCTGCAACGCCCGTAAACAAGCAAACTCTTCAGCCCTAAACCGTACCTGTGGTCAGGTCCATGTTGTTGAGAGGGTAGGGGGTGGGGGGTTTGGGCGTACTTGACCAATTCTACCGTTAAGATCCTTGAGTAGGAAGCAGGGCAACCACGAAAGGAACTAATTACACTGGAGGCTGCAACAAGAATCGCCTATACCCTAAACGCCTGCATGGTCCGAGTTGCGAGAGTCCAAACCCTAAACCAGAAGCCGGAGTTGCGAGAGCGTGAACCAGAAGCCGATACCCTCAGGGTCCATGTACCTAAATAGTACATACATTGGCCTTAAAGTACTCCCTATAAGGGTACATTAGGCCCAAAGAATATGGGTAGTTGCCAAAAATGTGGTCCCTTTTGGGGTATCCTAAATATTAGGTGCCGTGCTATAATAGGGACCCAACAAGGGACCCTAATTTTGACAACCACCCATATACTATTTGGGCACATGGATCCTTGGGGATAACTAAGCCACCCCCACGTTAGGAGATGGAGCTTCTCCAGTTCAAGGGCGACAAGGTTGCGTGCTCATTATTAGGAGGGAAGCCGGCAGCCTAGTATATGATAATATGCTCAGGTATGCTGTAGCATACATACGTATATCGCGTAGTGCATGTCGGTTTATTGTAGTGTGTTTCGTGGTTGGTTATATAAGGATATGAGCTCGAGGGTTTCGTAGCGCTGGAGATTGCGGCTTCAGGGTTGACGACTTCTGGAGTTTGGGGTTTGGGTTTTGAATGACGCCGTGCTAAACACAGACCAGCCTTGTCGAACATGGAAGAAGGGTTTGGTGAGGGTCTAGGGTTCAGGGTTTAGGGTTTAGGGAGGGTTTCGGGGGGTGTAGACTTTGGTAGTTTTAGGGTTTCCGCTTTTGGGCTTTCAGACTTGAAGTCTACGGTCGAGACACTAAGTATCGTTCAATGGCTCAATGGCTCACGACCTACCCGGACAATGGTTTGGGCATAGTGGCATAGTGAGGAAGGTTTCAGAGACCGGTCTGGACAACTTTGGCAAACAAAACCGTTGCTGTTGATGTTTTGATGAGTTCAGAGCCTGGCCGATGCCGCTGCAGTCCTTAAAAGCCTAAACCCTAAACCCCTTTGTCGAGCAAACATATCTGCTGGTCGAAAAAGGGGCGCACCAAAGAAGGCTACAGTCCTCAGTAGCCTTAGGACTCATGCAGTTTAGGTGGGGGTGGGTCGAGGCTCGGGAGTCGCCCCACCACCCCATCCTTTAATACAGGGATCTTAATAATTAGAATAGGGCATTGGGATATCTTATACTATAACTATACTTATGATAAGGAGCACCCCCAAAATAGTATAGGTATTCATTTAAAGCCCCTATGTTACTTCCTGTGAGCTCGGCAGCTGTTCAAGCAATCGTCTGAACTCGGAACGAATACTGGCATTTTGGTTTTAGAGTCAGTCCAGTTCGAGGGGCGTCTCAGGGTCCCATTGTTTAGGGCTGCATGGCTAACACACGGTTGGGGTAATTATCTTTCAGTCTGGGTATTTCGGGACTTTGCTAGGGCGAACTATGAGGATGCATCCTAACCGATCTTTTGGGTTTTGAAGCCGCCTCAGATTGCACCTCCCGCGTGCATCCAGAACATCTGGGGTGGAAGCTGCTTTGCTGGACTTCTAAGGTTTGAGTTCGCACTTGCACCTGTTCAACCGTTACCCTAAACCCTAAACCCTGAGAATCCACATGATGTAACTTTTCACACCGACTCCGCAGCTATGAACCTCGCCTGGCTGCGTCCGAGTTGTGAGAGCGTGAACCCTAAACCCTACCTAGGATGCCCAGTAGTACCCTTATTCCCTTTTGGTAGTCCTAGGTTCCTTATAAAGTTACCCAATACCAAAAAGAGAGGCCTTTTTATTCCTAGGTTACTGGGTATCCTAGCTACCAGCCGCAACAGCCAGGTTTCTCCTCAAAGCCGAATTTCGCACCCCAAGCCGGGCTTTTCATAGGGCCTCGTAGGCCTTCCAGAGTACAGGTGCTTTGGTGTTCCTTATCATCTTAGAGGTACTTAGAAATAAATCTGAGTTTTTGGTTATTATAATCCCTAAGAAACAGCTAAAATTATAATTGTTGCTAGGGTTCTAAGTTCAGTATAGTCATATCTCTGCTGGAATATGCCGGCAAACTTGACAAACCGTATTCTGATTACTAATGCCCCTGTATCATACTGGTAGAACCTTTGCAGAGAACCTTATTGTTGGTATCCTAAAGAAATGAAGGAGCCCTGAGTCTCTATAGTAGTTAAGGCCCTTACTGGCCCAAATGGTTAGAAATCTCGGACCATAGGAGGATCTTAGCAGACTCCATGATCTCCGACACCAAACACTGAGATCCCACATTATCACGGCCAGAATGGCCGCTAGCATCCGCTACCTCCCCATCTTACACACACGCACACACCAAAACCTTAATCCAACGTTTAAGGCTCTTATATTCGACCCTAGGAACCCTTATAGATCCCTATAAGGAACCCTGTTGAACATTGGAATCGTGTTGGACGTCTGGGACGTCCTGTGCATTGGGATTGCCGTCTGCAGAGTCCATGCTAATCTTCTCAGTTTCGTTCCAAAATCACCAGAAAAAGCAGCTTCAAAGAACCATGGCTCAGCACTCGGACTTACGTCTTTTACGCACACAAAGCAACTGCTGGCTTACGTTGTCCTCTGGACTAACCTGTACGTGCCAACTGCTGTTCACATGGAGCTCTGCTCCAACTTCAGCCATCAAGGCTGCGCGAAGAAGTCGTTGACGGCCAGGTCCTGCATCAACACTCCTCCTTGGCCGCATCTCCCCTTTAGGGTGGAAGGCCACCTCCTGTTCCTCCCCTGGCCGCTTGCAAACAATAACGGCAAAACATACGCTGGTGCGTACTTGTTACGTTGCGAAGGCCGTGGCAGTTCGGGAACAGGTGCAAAGCTCCAGGTCCTCGACCAGTAGAAGTTAACACTTGGAGCTCGCAGAGTTCTTGGATACTAAGAGTTCGATCTACAGTTTGAGTGGATGCATCGCTCATGACCCTTTTAGCCTGACTAGAACCACCACCTAAGGGATCAGCTCGGGGCTCGGAGGTCTGAGGAGCCGGTAAATCCACAGGGACTGGAACCGAGGAAGACGACTGGGCTCTTCCAAATCCAATCTCGGAGTGAGCCTGAGGGCTTCGAGACGTAGCGAAAGCTGGTAAGGGAGGCTCGAAATCCATCGGCCTCTGTGGCGGATTTGAATCCACCTGCACGTGAACATATGAAGTGACCCTCGAATCCCCAGAAGCAGCCTCAGGCCGCAAATCTAAGGACCCTGAAGTTGAGCCCCTATGCCTTAAACCCTCACCGTGCAGCTCCCGCTCGATAGCCCTTCGGACTGCATCTTGCCTGCGCCCTCTGCGGGCACGGTGCTCACCATCATCATCATCATCTGCTCTCACCACCCGAACACTCGGATCATCACCTGAACGACGCGTGTCATCACCTGTACGACGCGTATCATCACCTGCACGACGTGTGTCATCATCTGAACGCCGCATACAGCAGGCACGTAGGCAATGCTTTCCAGATTCCCAAATGAAGAGTACAGACATAACCAATAGCGCTACCATCAAGGACAGCTCAACGCTCAAAGGCTCTGGGTTAGGCTCTTCTTCAGCAGAACTTGCTTCTCCACGCTCTGCTTGCAGCAGCATAATTACAGCTAACAACCATAACCCAACCTTATCAGGATCCCAACCTAATTGACTTGAACCCCTACCCACAACTGTCCTATCTAACTCACCCTGAGCGGCAGGTCCTTGCAGAGAGGTGGAAGGTTGAGGAGGGGCCTTAGGGTCTACAGCGACTGTTGCAACCTGCTGCGTAGCACGCGGGGGGCCTAGGCCTAACAACTTGCACAACTCTTCCAGGCGGGTCCTAAGTAAAGCCTTGGTCAAGCAATCAGCCAGCTGCACATCGCCCGGGCAGTGAGTTACGACTAGTTCTTGCCGCTCCCTCATGTCGTGAAGGAACGCAGCCCTCACCCGCAAGTGCCTCGTTCGAACACTGCCACCACCCTCTGCGATCGTCACCGCAGCTGTGTTGTCGACCAACAGCTTCTTGGGTCCTGTTGATCCATCGAGCTCACTGATCAAAGCTTCCAGGGATTGTGCAAGGGTTACGCCCTCACACCCTGCACACAGCTCTGATTCTGCTGTGCTCAACGTCACCAGGCTCTGGCGTTTTGATTTCCATGCTACAGTGCACTCGTCGTACTGCAACAATATTCCGCTGATAGAGTGCGCTCCAAACGGAGCGAAGGAGGCGTCCGTATAGATTCTAATGCCATCAGCCTTTCCCGGGATAAGCAATAGGCGATGCTCTTTGGTGTTCGCAAGATATTCCAGAGTGCGGGCTCCAATCTTGGATACCTGCCGAGGAAACCTAGACACCCAGCTCGACATCAAAGCAACACAGTAGCCTATATCTAAACGGGTACGCTGCGCGAGCCACAGGAGTTCACCAGTAATTCGTTGCCCAGCTCTCAACTCCTCCTCAGAGAAGTCCTCGCACGCCGGGGCCTCCCTGACCCACTCACGTGGAACAGGAGCTGTAGCCCTCGAACTCGGCTTCACCTGGTGGCTTCGCAACAACTCATCAATATAAGCCTCTTGTGCCAAGCTATAACCAATCACTTCTCCCTCACTATCAACTTCGGCATATATGTCTACACCCAGAAAGCGAAGAGGCTCGGAAGAGGTAGCTTCCTTCAGCCCAGTGCACTCCCAGGACTGTCGCAGCCATGTGATAAAAGATTCCGCAACACCGGAGTCCGTCAACAGTAGCATGTCGTCAACGTACACCAGGAGGTGTCCCACACAAGAGCCATCACTAAGCCTCATGCTCCAGATATTGCCCTCACTGACGAGCTGCTGCAAACGGACCATGCCATAAGGGCTAGTCCACACGGCGGACTTAAGGAACTCATCCCGGTGGATCGACCACCACTTCGGACTTTCACGAAATCCGTACAATGCTCTATGGATAATCCAAAGCTCGTCCTCCGCGCACAAGCCTAACTCTATAAGCATTCGTGGAGGGCGCATCGCATATCGCCTTGTCACATTCGCCGGAATAGGTGCGAGGAGGAACGCAGATTTCACATCAAGTCCAAAGCAGCGCCTCCCGCGGCGATTTGAATGTGCTAAGAGTGTGCGAAGGCTCTCCGCCCCAGCACCACCCGCATAAAGTTGCCCTTCATCTGTGGCCGAAGCGAAGTTTCCACACGACACAATACGGAATTTTCGTTTAAATGGCTCTCCAGGTTTGATGGTACAGACTGCTTTGGCGGTTATAACCTCGATTGACGAATCACGGATGACACTCCTGGCTTCGGGACCGTAGCGCTTCTCAATCACGCCCAACTTTTCAAACGACTCAAGCTCAGCTTGGGCTGCCGATCGCCACTTCGGTAAATGACGACGCACTTCTGAAGGTGCAACAGTATGCACGACCTCCAAAGGTCCGCTGAGGTTTTGGAGTAGTTCCTCAACGTTAGGTGTGTAGATGCTTTCATCAACCTTTCTTACGGCTGGAGCAGTAAGATGACTCGAACCCGTAGCCCGGAGAGACAACAGCGGATCATCAGTAGGAACCCCGATGCCAGAGGTCGCTCCAGAGGCAGTGGATCGTGACGACAGACGATCCTGCATCCCTGAAGTCACAGCGGAGCCGGATGAGACCTGCGACCTTACAGCTTGCTCAGCAGAACTGTGGTGAACGGCCATACATCTATAGGACAAGTCAGACTGTGGAGTGGAAGAATCCGTCGGGTCTACGCTGGGCAAACTTCCAACCTCAACGTCCTCACCTACCTGCGGAAGCTCTACGCTCAACCCCATGGCACTAGACTGTAGCTGTTCAGCGGGCTCATCTAGCTCGTAAGACGACGAGGCCTGAGCGGGAACAGTAGTAGACTCATGAGATGAAGAGGCCTGCGCGGAAGTTGTGGGCACACCAGAATCTGGTCCTGGAACCCAATCTTCATCCCCCCACAATGCCTGCATGTACATCATGTATTGATAGTCCTCTACGGCTTGCTCTGCTGCATGCTTCACCCTTGGGGCTTCATGCGACGAACTCGGTACATCACATAAAGATCGTGAAGTGGGAGAATCCGTTGGGTCTACACCGGGCATCTCAGGGAACGCAAAGGGATCTGGAGCTGCTAGCTCCTCCTCCTCAGCCTCAGGCCTAAGAAGAGAACGCTTAGCGTCCGGCTGCTTGCATCCCAAGCCGGCGAATGGTGGACCGGGACACCGTTGCGCCAAAGTACGATTCTGAATTATCCACGGAATGGCCCGCTGAGCGCGATCCAGGAGTCTCACCTCGCCTGTGGTTAAGCTGGACAGCTGAGGGCTGTCAGGACGACGAGTCCCAGGAGGATGAATCCCCAGCATTATACCTTCAGCGACCCTTCTAGTGAACCCAAACTCTAATAGGTCCTCAAGATACAGGAATTGCAGATCATTGGGAGACTCTACTCCAAGGGCTGACAAACGGCCATAGGCATCACTGACTCCACGCACCCGCAGATAGTCGGCCAGTGCTACATTGACCAAACCTGGAATCGGCACATCACCTGGATCCCCTGTGCTAAAATCCCAACCCACCAACGCTGTGCTTGCATCTGGTTGCAAATCGGCTTCAAGTGGCTCTAGTTGACCCGGAGGGAGCTGCTGATCATTGGGCACCGTTGCAACTGCAATCTGATGCCGGAGCTCCTCGGAACTGATACTGGACTCGGACGTATCCTCCGAGGTCGAGGACAGAGCTCTCACTTGATACCTGACGTCCTTATGGGGCGAAGGTGGTGCTTGTGTTGCACTGAAGGCCAATGGAAAATCACAGGATTCTAGAAATGCGACATCCCTCGGGTTTAACTTCTGCGTTCCCAAAGGAGTATAACCGACTAACAGCCAATTCGGTTGCATACGGACTGCATGATGCTGGCGCGGGTCGAAGGTGAATGGAACCTCGGTCAATGTGTGAGTGTCGCGTGGATCCCACGTGGGAGTGGGAGGGTTGGCGCTCCTTGGCAGAGAGTCCCCACTCGGCTCAACCCATAATTGGACCTCACCCGGAACATGCATGGCAACATTAACTGTGTTCCACTCATTCCGCCAATCGCGACGTACACCTACGTCCCCAGCTCGCATCAGCATCACTGCGGACCATGATGGGAGATCCCGGTTTGGGTGTCCGAAACCGGGAGACGACAAGGTGGCTGAGGAAACAGCAGAAACTCCAGACGACGGGTCAGGATGTGCGTCATGGGAGTGTTGCCGTGATAACAAGGCCTGGTTGATAAACCTAGTGGTCCAAGGCTTACGCTTAGCCAAATTAGTCACCCCTCTCAAACCGCCATGGCAGTATGCACCAAAGATTTGACGTCCCTCGGCTATTCCCCTTCGGTCAACCGAACTCTCCTCCTCCTGGGCCACTGCACTCAACACCTTGCGAAGAGCTTCGATACTATAATTCTGCGAAAGCAAGAACTCCTGCGAAACCTCCTCAGAAGTTGGGAAATCCAAGCATTCAACAAACCTCACCGAAGTCTTCTCTCTAAGTCTCCTTACGGGAACTCCGGACTCATCAATCACCTCACCGGTTGGTTCTCCCTCCGGCGCTTCCTCCTCCTGAAGAATTGGAAGTTCTAACCCCTCAAGAGTTAAAGGATCAACAACCTTGGACTTAAAACCCCGCGAAGCGACCAAGTTGCCTGCCTCAGTTATCAAGACATGTCCCTCTGGGATGGATCGATGCGGCGCTGCGTATCTTGCCTCGACCCAACGCTCCATCAACTGCTTAGTCCCATCGGCAGGTCGCTTGACGCGACGCAGAACTCGTTGCCCGAAGGCTGGAAGCTCAGGCTCTCCTAAAATGATCCCGTTATGCTTAGCAACCGCCCATCGTGCTGCTAGAGGCCACCATACTACTCCAAGGCTTGCCCCATTTAGCAATGTACGGATGCGAGACTTAACCCAGCCGACAGTGCGTTCGGAGAGGCCATTGCCTCTCTTATCGGTGGGTAGAGAGTGTTGAACTCTCACCCCGTGGTTCGCCAACCAGCGACTGAGGGCGGTGGACCCGAATTCGGTCCCAGGATCATGATGGATGCTACGCACTGGGAACCTTTGGTTTATTTGCAAGATCATTTGTTGAAGGGCTTCCGTAACTTCCACACCTGTTTTAGTGCGCAGTGGAACGAAGTACCGCAAAACCACCTGATCAACAGGCTCATTCAACTCTTCGATCAAGCGTTCCATTTCCTCCTTGTCTTCAGGGAGGTCAACAGGATCCCAAACAGAGGACTTAGCATCCTCTGCCGAAGCTGCACTCACCTTGGGCAATGGATCTGAATCCTCCTGCTGCTGACTCGCCTCTATGCCTGGACCAAACAGTTCTGGAAACAGCTCCCCTCCCGGATCTGAAGGCTCATATTCCGCCAGCTCATTCTCGCCATCGGGCAATTCGGGATTACCGCTGCTGAACAAGTCCTTCACTCCATCCGGCTTATGAGGCTTATCTGAGTCCTGGATCAAAGACCGGGGTACCCTAAAGGCACCGACAAGTCCGTAGCGCAGGATTGTTTTCCCTGTGATGCAACCTTCGTCCCTGCCTGCCTCATGTGGGGGCACTGGGCCGAAAAGGTCTACCGACAACGCGAAGGAGCGTGGGTGGCGTATTCGTCTATGAAAAGGGCCTAACCCCGCCCCCTCTATACATTGCTTACAATCTCTACGATAAGGGAGGTGCCCGTTGAGCAAGTGCTGGCGCCACCTTTCGGCCTCGGCCTCAGAGATGCTTGTAGGCTTGAACCCCGGCTCCTCCTGAGACGCATTCCCAGGTGGACAGTCACCACCCTGAACTCCCTTTACACACTCAGGCTCAACACCTTCACCGGAAGTGCCATCACCTAGCTCATCCAGCGCCACCGCTTCATCAGGTTCCCCTTCGGAGTCTGAATCAATGATGCTTTCAGCCTCAAAAGCACGCGCAAGCGCCTCAGCCTCCGAAGCTGCCAAGGCCGAGGGGCACACCATCATTGAACCATCGGGATTGTTGATTGCACTTGGGCCGCGCTCTGCTAACCCCTTCGCAATCACTCTATCCAAGATCTCACAATCAGGGCCTGAAGGGGTCCCCAAAAGGGTCTTCACCAACTCTTCTCGAAGTGCCTTACTCCAGATCCTACCATTGGGAGGCGGGACTGAACTTCCAGCACACGGGAGACTCGCAACGTGGCTGAAATCCAAATTGGTTGTGAGCACAGTAGGGCGTGCGTAATCATCACCCAAAGCCCCTTGGCTAATAAGGAACCGATTCATTCCAGACCAGCGTCGGAAGCTCTCACAAACCTCCTCTTGAATCCCAACCGCCTCCGCAACATATGGGATGCCTCGGCCTCGGGATACCGATGCCAAAGACCAGAGAAACATGTCCTGCAGGTGCAGTCGGCTGATCTTTCCATTTCTCACCGTAGGTGGGGAAGAAAGCAGCACAGATACCTTCCCATGAGCAGCGGCCCACAGAAGAACCTTCCACACCCCATCCGTGCAAAGCAAGTCCCAGCCCTTTCCACCCCGTTGTCTTAGGTCCACCCTCAAGAAAGCCATACCACTCTTGTCACACCAACTAGCGATAGGATCCCCAGAGGTCTCAGGTCCCGAGCACAAGTGAACTACCCAGCGATCCGAGCTGAGCAGGCCACGCCGTGCAGCGCGCTTGAGGGGAAGGGTTTTCAGGATTGACTTACCTGAATCAAGGCTCGAGTCTGGAATCCCTTCGGCGAGGGTTGCAACGAGGTCCTCAGGCACATCCTTGAAGTAGGGTTGGGTCATCAAGGCACACAGCAGATCCTTACGGTCCCCTGTCGCAGCAAAATGCTGCAACGACCGAGTGGGATCAGGCCGTTGGTCATACACCTCCAACTGACTCTCCAATGTCTGCACCCGCTGCTTAAAGGACTCAAGTCTGTGATCTTCTAGTTCGGATATGAGGCGTAATGCTTGGTCCTCTTGCACATAAGGACACGTATTTCCCGACACACCTGTCTTCAGCAACCCCATAGTCGGATGGAACACTCGGAGTCCCTGACGTCTACTCCAGCTCACACGGCAGCCTAGGGATTCTACGAGTGCCCCAAGGGGCAGGATTGTCTGTAGGTTTGGCTCTTCGGACCCAGCTGCAGGATCAGGAGGGACCACGAGCGTTCCCCCAGCTGTGCGCATCCACTCTTGTTTGGCGTCACCCGCTAAAGTTACGGGAACCCTTTCAAGATTGGTGAGGCTTTCGCGATAAGGGATCACTGCGTGCGTTGCGCCAGAATCCAACAGTGCCACTGCCTTAATGATCCTAGTGTCAGGCTCAACCATTCTTATGCTTGCCTTCGCCTCGTGATCTCTAGCAGCCGCCTTAAGGCTCTCAACTTGAGCCTGGATGGAAGCTAGAGACACTGGGGTTCCTTGTACGGGATCGGCTTGCGGGATCGGGGCACCTGCAATGGGAACTGCCTGAGCCGTTGACGAAGACGCCCCAGCACCCTGCTCCTTATTCGGCATTACCTGTTGAAGGATCATCGCTGCGTCCGCCAACATACTCTTGATATGTTGCTGATTCACATCCGCCGGTGGTGGCGGTGGTGCCTGCGACGTGTCGGCTACACCCCTCTGGGATCCTGGAGCCTTCGCCTTAGCCTTTGCCTTCGGAGATTCACCTTGCTTCGTCCCAGCAGTGCAGTCTGGCCCCTTATGAGCCTTACTCCCACAGTTCTTGCACCTAGTCGACTTCTCAGAATTCGAAAAGGCGGACCAATCGTGAGTGTAAGTACATTCTGATCCCTTCTTACAGCCTGTTGGGCTACTATAGAAGGTGCACGGTGGCCTGACAGAGGCGTCATGTCCTGCAGAGGATTTCGCTGGGCTAGGTCCCTTCGGAGGCGCCTTAGGGGGATTCTTAGGCGGTTTCGGAGAAGGCGGAACATCAGACACTTGCGCTTCTACACCCTTGATTTTGGCACTAGGCGCAGGAGGATTATCCTTATTCCCCTTATCCTTGTCCTTATCCCCTCGGTGCACAATGGACTCAAGCTCGCTCAACACCTGCGCATGGAATCGCGACACCTTATCATCATCCGGAATCAAGTCTATCTGGAGGGACGCCCGCGCAAGGTTCACCCTAAAGGCCAGCTCCGAATGCTGAGATAACACTGAACGAGTGATTTTAGTCACAGCTTTCAACTGCAATGCCGGGTCGGGGAGTATACCCCCTAGTTCCGTCATGCGACTACACCACCGCTTCCAGCGGCGCAACCCATCAATGCACTCCTGGACACTTGTGCATGCCGGAGGATCCTGGATGTGCCGCAGCCCGATTTCTTTCTCTGTCAAGCTGCCCGGCCCGTAGATAATGAAAAGTTTGCAAAGCACAGCTAGCAATCCAGAGGTCCTAGAAGCGCTAACTTCTTCTCGTATCGAGGCCGGGGCGGACATTAAGATCATGTTTTCTATTCTTCGGCATACACGAGTCCACTTAGGTTGGCTTAGCTCTGACGACGGTGTGGGTTTGAAAGTTAGCCTACTGAGTGGGTCGAGCTTCAAGTATGCAGCGTACCAAGTGGTAGCCTCCGCCACAGTCAATGCCCAGAGTTCTTCCGAACTATCCGAAACATCGGCTAGTGCTGGCTTAGTCTCATGGAGCCAGTCGGCAAAGTGCAAGCAGCTATCTGGCCCATGACTTGGAAGAGCCGGAAGGGAAACCACGCCAGGCTTAATGGCTTCTGGTTTGCTGTTCGATTTTGGACTCGTAAGTTCGCTTATCACACTCTGAAGCTGAGCCATGCCAGTTAGAACCACACTCATGGGGTCCGGGGTTCCAGCATGCCCTGAACCTGAAGTCGCAGCATGCCCTGAACCTGAAGTCGCAGCATGCCCTGAACCTGAAGTCGCAGCATGCCCTAGAACCGAAGTCGCAGCATGCCCTAAAACCGAAGTCGCAGCCTGCCCTGGAACCGAAGTCGCAGCATGCCCTAGAACCGAAGTCGCAGCATGCCCTAGAACCGAAGTCGCAGCCTGCCCTGGAACCGAAGTCGCAGCCTGCCCTGACACCACAGAGCCAGGCACAACAGACGCCCCGTGGCTCTGGCCACTTCTCGACGCAGGAGGCTCGGGAGGGTTCGCAGGGGCTACTCCTAAGGATCTCGGGTCAGGTAATTCGGGAACAGGCACTACTTCACTCCTCAAGGTTGACATGGGCCTAAGCTCGACGGGGCCAGTTGCGCTAGGGATTCGGTCTCCGTAACCTAAAGAGGGTCCTACATTGGGGCCTAAACCGAAGCTAGGCTGCTGCACGGCCGTAAGTCCAGGCGGCCCAACACCAAAGTCCAAAGAGTGCTGAGGATACGCTGAAGTCTCGGGTGGTGCACGGTCTCTCAGCTGAGGCCAAATCGGGGGCGCCGGAGGCGGTGGAGGAGGCGGAGGGGATGGAGAGGATTCCAGAACCCTTCCAGCCCTCTGTTGACCCATCAAGGTACCCAAGCCTCTCCCTAACCAACTTAACCCTCCTAACCCACTAGGATTACTTACCCCAGGTCTCGAGCTCTGCATCCCGGACTGTACATCAGCTTCGACACGGAGCCTCAGGCTCTGATTCTCTACACACAGCGCCTCTACTTGGGCGCGAAGCAACCTAGTCTCTTCATCTCTACTCGCCATCAGCTCCGTCAACTGTCTTCTCACTTCAGCCTGCAAGTCGCTCGATGAAGTGGACTCCGGTCTCGGAGCCGGTGGCAGTGGCGACGCCTCCGGGTAAAGCAACGGAGCGCTTTCCTGAAGTTGCCGCATTCTCATCAAAGTAGCAGCATCCAACAACGGGGTTGTAGGAACCTGCGTAGCCGACGGAGGGGAAGTTTGAGTCCTTCCCACCGAAGATCTGACAGAGCCATATTCGACGCTATCATGAACCCCAGTGGGCTCCTGGGCCCATCTTCCAGTCGTAGACATAGCCATCAAGTTCTCCACTGCAGTGGGCAGTGTCTGGACTGCTCTCAGACCCAATGCACAGGACGTCCCAGACGTCCAACACGATTCCAATGTTCAACAGGTTATGAGTAGCCCAAGTGTTGCTACTGCGCAAGAAGCTGGAACGCAAGGCGCCCCTCGGGTGCTTAACGGATTCCTGCCTCCTATTCGCGGAAGTCAAGACATTGACGGTGAAGTGCTATCAGCCAGCCTTCTGGCTGAACGTGCAAGCGGTCCAGCTGAGACAGCTGGCCATCTACTGCAACCGGCGGGTTCTGGAAGTGGTACTGTGGCGACAGCTCAGATGACATCTGGGATGGAGAGAGCCATGGACCCCTCCTCTTCTGCTTTACATCAGGCTGTGCCTGGGCTTCAGGCCCCTCCGACGGGGGTTATGATTACTGAGGTTCGGGGCCAGACCCAAGTGCAAGGAGCAGGATCGGGAGGTATGTTCTCTGGAGTTTGCCGTCTGCAGAGTCCATGCTAATCTTCTCAGTTTCGTTCCAGAATCACCAGAAAAAGCAGCTTCAAAGAACCATGGCTCAGCACTCGGACTTACGTCTTTTACGCACACAAAGCAACTGCTGGCTTACGTTGTCCTCTGGACTAACCTGTACGTGCCAACTGCTGTTCACATGGAGCTCTGCTCCAACTTCAGCCATCAAGGCTGCGCGAAGAAGTCGTTGACGGCCAGGTCCTGCATCAACAAACCCCTATAGATCCCTTTAAAGGAACCCTAAGACCCTTCGAACCGAAAGACTGAACCAATGAATTGACACCTCACAGTTCTGTGCCGCAGACCTGAACATGTGAGTCCCGAGCTCCACACGCCCTGATCACCCCATCCTCCTCAGTACCACTTTCGGAGCGTTTTGGGTTTACGGTGAGGTGAGAGTTTAGGGTTTGGGGGTGTCAATGTTGGCTAATCAATCAAGGTTGGCTGTTGAAGGCTTACACATACGTGGGGCTCTGGGATTGGGTTTCTCCTCGTTCCGGCTTTGGGGATGTGGAGTTCTGGGTCTTGGCATTTCGGGCTGTGAAGGTGTCTTTGCTGTGTGATTTCATCTGTAGGCCGCAGAGGTCTCGACGGGCTCAGGTTTGGAATTCGCTGGTTGGGAATACTGGCTGTTTACAGCTTCTCAGCGCCATTCGTTGCTGTCATCTTCCAGGCTACTTCTTCAGGAAGATGTTGGAGAGGGCGGCAGATTTGGATGCCATCGCCGCTTGTTTGAACATGCTTCTGATGAGAAGCCCCGCAAAAGCCTGAAAGCCAGGTCTCGGCAAACTGTACCATGCTGTAATGGTTACTCTATCATGGTTTATTAACTACGCTATAGCGATTTATCGTATCGTGTTATGTTGTGTCGTCGTGTTCCTCATCATATAGTACTGTGTTGTATCATCGTACAATGTAACGTATTGCTCGTACGTTTTTCCCATCTAATACACGACATTCTCATGAGTTCTGTTTTTATCATATATTATATGTCTTTTGTGATGGACTAGCTAAGCAATGACTGGCAAGTGCGGCATGGCTCCAGCACATCAGCAGCAGCGGCAGCAGCAAAACCCAGCAGCTCCGCGCACTGGTTGCTATGACCCCGGGGAAGAAGTGTCGGATGCCCTGCTGTCTTAACACGACTGAAACGGACTGTGCAGAGGCTGTCTTAACAAGACTGACACAGCAGTTTCCGAAAATAGGGGACCCTAATATACTAATATAGCACCCTAAATAGTAGGATGCTTCTCATAAGGACCCCATACAAAGGTACCCCTAATGTGCGAAACCCACACAGGAGCTGCTGAGCACATTAGCAGCCCAGGCGCATCTTTGGTAGTTAGTTTTGTCTGGGTTCAGTAGCTGCCTTGGCCGCCATCATGCTAGGGCTTAGGGTCTAGGGTTTATAGGGTGTAGGGGTTAGGGTTTAGGGTCTAGGGTTTGTAGGGTTTAGAGCAGCTAGACCTGACCATCTGGAACTGCACTTGGCAAGAGACATGTGCCTTCTGAAAGGGTTCAGGAAAAGACGGAGAAAGGATTGCAGGTCGTGGTC